ACCACCGTGTCAAGGAGTCTCCGGGCTCAACACTGATAGGAAGGGCGCCCTGCGTGATCCCAGGTCTTGCCTCTTCGTTCATGTCTCACGGGTGCGAGATCTCGTTCGTCGGCGGTTTATGTGGGCGCAGGTGCATGCCTTGATGGAGTCAGTGAGCTCTATGGACGCACGAGACAGAGACATCATGAGCCGGGACTTTGGCGACCAGCCAGTGCGGATTGATGCTGGTGGCATATCATGGTGCCATCGACCACGGCTTTATTGGACCACGTGGCAGCTCCTGACTGGTCCGGGAGCTGAGAAGTTCGACGATGAAGAGCCGGTGACATGGAGCTTGACAGCTCAGCAATCGCTGGATGATGTTTTGGAGCCTGGTTGGGCGAAGGTGACTCCGACCAAACCGTTTCCCACCTTTACCACGGCTAGGCCATCCCCGGTACCTGGGCGAAAGCCTGCAGGTCTTTCATTCTGCACGGAGTCGGAGGTGGCAAGGTGGCAGGCGGATCAACACAGGTTCCCACCATACCAAGATCAGGAGGTGCATTGCTTGGCAAACCGTCGAGGAGAACTTCGAGTTGCAAGCGTCAAGGAAAGGGAGTTGATCCTTGGTTTCCCATTGAACTACACGGCTCCCTGCGCAGGCAAATCAGATCGACATAAGCCCGGGTACAATGACAGCAGACTCACCTTGCTCGGCAATACTTGGAGTGTGCCCGTTGTCGCGTGGTTGATTAACCAGCTCCTGTCCACCATTGGGTTGGTCACCGCCATGAGCCCGCAAGACATTGTGGATGCATGTAAGGCAGGCTCTGGCGAGCTGCTCCAGGGGCGTCTGGTGCGGATGCCCATTCGGAGCATTGAACCCCAAGAGGGGACGGAGCGGGAGCTGGCTTTCAAGTTGGGAAACCTCATCAGCCTCAAGGGTGAGGACATCTTGTTGTCGACCCCTAGCACGCAGCTGGTTCGCTTCCATCGCCTGAGGGCTTCGGTGCCAGCTAAGCTTTGGAGATGGAAGGTTGTCAATGGTTGGCGGTGGACCAAGGGCAAGGAGCACATCAACTCCCTCGAGTTGAGAGCAATACTCAATGCTGTTAGGTGGCGTGTGGAACGAAAGCAGCATCGTGGTGTGAGGATGTTGCATCTGACCGATTCGCTAGTCTGCCTCCATGGTTTGACAAGGGGCAGGACGAGCTCAAGGAAGCTTCGAAGTGTGATGTCCAGGATCAATGCGCTAATGTTGTGTTCGAATTCTCAAATTATGTGGGGGTATGTGAGTACCGACTGTAACCCTGCTGACAAGCCAAGTCGGTGGGGCAGTCGGGCGCGGAGCAAGTTTAAGCATGCCTAAGCGCATACTTGAGGGTGGAACACAACAAGAGCGCGCAAAGATCCGAAAGGGACTGGGTACACTACGCCAGCTTACGGTACAGCCCGCAACAAGGCGCCGCTACGACAAAGCAGTGGACCAGTTTCTCACCTTTCTTAAACATGAAGGACTTACCTTGCCTACCAACAAAGCGAAGCTTGACCCTCTAGTCTGTGACTACCTGGAACACCTATGGTCTTCTGGACAGGGCCGTGGTTTGGCTTGTGATACTCTAGCTGGGCTGCAGGACACCCAGCCGGGCTTGAGAGGCCACATGCCGGCAGCCTGGAGGCTCCTGAAGACATGGCAGACTAACGAACTGCCCAACCGCGCTCCACCCTTGCCTGAGCATCTGGTACATGCGATGGCGGGATGGGGGTTTTTACTCAATGTTACGCACAGGAGAGATCCTGGGGCTCCTTTCAAGTCACATGACCCTAGGTCCGGGGGACGGACAAGCCTTAATTAACCTTGGGCTCACCAAAGGCGGAAAACGCCATGGTGCGGCAGAGAGCGTAGTTCTAGGTTATGAACCGGTTGTCCGGCTCCTCCGTTGTTGGAAGACAGCTTGCTCACCAAGCACTCGGTTAACCCCATCGCCTGTGACATGGCGAGCACTGTTTAATCTGTGCCTGCAGGGCTTGAAGATACACGATGTCGGGTTCAGGCCCTACTCTCTTCGGAGGGGAGGGGCCACTTTTTGGTTCCAAAAGCATCAGAATTTAGACCGCATTCTTCTCCAAGGAAGATGGCACACTCAGAAAAGTGCCCGGATCTACCTGAACGAGGGTCTGGCCGTTTTGAGTCAGTTGAAAATACCCCCGTCTGATGCACGCATTCGCCCCTTTTTAACCGTTTTTCGTAGCTTTTTACAGTCACCAAAGATCACAACACTTGAACCTCCTGCCAAAGGCGGAAGGGCAGGGGGACTTGGAAAACGATCAACGCGATCCAAGAAAGGCAAGGGAAAATGGCGTGAAGCCTCACTTTTTTGCGTGTCAACCTTAGTCTGTGCTTGTATCCTCACCGGTTTCGGAGGAGTGGCTCGGCCAGGTGTAGGACAAGCTGAGAGGTACCCTTCACCCAGGGAGTGGCCGGGTGTTTGGGACCATCTTTTCGACGGACAGGGGTCCTAGAACGGACTATAGGTTGACTCTACCGTTCCTAATTTCTTTCAATTTGACAAACTCGCTGCGAAGTGGAACAAAAGAAATGGGCGCTGCATCTTTGTACTTTCGCCCCCGTAAGTTAAGATGCATCTCATTTCGGCTGTTCCGTAGTGTTGTGGTTCAAGCTCCCTCCCTCTGCCACCCCTTCTTTCATTGTCGGGGAAAACGATCAACGCGATCCAAGAAAGGCAAGGGAAAATGGCGTGAAGCCTCACTTTTTTGCGTGTTGTGCTTGTATCCTCACCGGTTTCGGAGGAGTGGCTCGGCCAGGTGTAGGACAAGCTGAGAGGTACCCTTCACCCAGGGAGTGGCCGGGTGTTTGGGACCATCTTTTCGACGGACAGGGGTCCTGGAACGGACTATAGGTTGACTCTACCGTTCCTAATTTCTTTCAATTTGACAAACTCGCTGCGAAGTGGAACAAAAGAAATGGGCGCTGCATCTTTATATATATATTATATGTGGGTTCTTGTTTCTTTTTGTTGAGTGTTTGCAGCTGAAACAGTGGAATCGTCAGAAGTCATCGCATCCGTGAGACAGAGGACCGAACCATGTTATTTTGTCAATGGACTCGGTAAACCTGGAATCAGAACCTGGAATTAGGCAAAGTTGATTCTCAACACGGATCACAGAGATTTATCAGCAGCATATGTATTGCATGTGTATAATACACAATCATGTAGAACTGTAGAATGCAAGTAGATGTTTTCAGGGTATGCTCACTAAACCTTTCGAGAACCCACTGATAGTGAAGAATTTCTTTAAATCAAGCCCAGGGTCTGTGCAAATGGTATGGTCAATAGTTATGGCTTGGCTTAGCATGTTGCTTGGTCACTCATCTATAAAACCTTGGCTTTCGCAAATGACTCAAGCATGATCGGAATCCTCCGCTAAACCAACAGATGATTGGAGGGAGGGGCCAGGCGAGGGAACAGCCTGAAAGGGCTTTGAATCAGAGGCTTGATTTGCGGAGATCCCATTTTCTGGGTTTTCTAAAAACAAAGCTTGATGTGACCTCGGTGTCAGACGGGATGAATCAGAAATGTCGGTCCCGGGACAAACCCCTATTGACCCGGAATAAATGGCTTCTCACAGATTTTATGGATTTCCTACCTAACCATTCATATTCCGCAGCTTCACATGTCTGACGCGGTCGACTGGGAAGATTGCTGCGGAGGCGGAGGTGTTTCTTTTTTCCGGTGTTCGAAGTTCGATGGAAAAAAGGTTGGAGTGTGATTGTTCGTACTTTGTTCAAAGTTTGATTAAATACCCTATCTCCGTAATTATCCAACAACAAGGAAGTTGAACATGGCTCCTTGCAAGACTTGTTCCTTTACCAGCAGCAGCAGCAGCAGCAGCAGCACCAAGGGGCTCTGGAAGGAGGCTGTAATTATTATCAGATATATTTGGGGAGAGGCCTGCCTTTTAGCATTGAAACTCCGGCTTGTCAGCCGAAGCTGTTTGTGAGCTCGAGCTCGCTACTAGGTTGGAGGCCATCGCTAGTAGGTTGGAGGCCATCGCAATTAGGTTGGGGGCCATCGCTATTAGGTTGGGGGCCATCGCTATTAAGTGTCTTATGTCTTGTTGTTTCTTTCGCAACGGCTCCTAGAAATCCACCTGATCAGACGGTGAGCGGCTCGTTCGACCAACACTGAGGCCAGCGATTGTGACTGGATGCACGGGGTGTGCGGTACTCAGGGACCATCGCCGATTCCATCGGTGAAGTTCCGACATGTCAACATGCCAACGCATCGTTGTGAGCTCTCAGTTGAGGGTGTACCTTGCTGGCTCCTGGTCATGACATCAGGGTTGAACATGGTTGAAGAAAGTTGGTGGAGAAGCAGAGTTCTTTTGAATCGCCGACTTTGAGGCCATGGGCCATGGGTGGAGCATGAACCAGCATAGTTGTTGGACATGTTGGCTTGTGGGATTGATGACTTGAGAAGAACATGTTTAGATGCGAATCCATGAAATAGACTTGTGCAGCCGTACAAGCCGCAAAGAGATGTGGATGAATGATTCAGCAGCTTCTCAACCCAGGTCGTCAGATACTGAGCGTCTCGCCCACTGCTTCCAAATCAATCATTCAATCATTGAAGTCTTGAAATGTTTGCAATCAGTAGAAGGAAGTCGAACCTTGAAATAACTGAATGCGCCGTGTCAACGGCCTTATGATCTGTTGGAAACCAAACTATCTAAACATGCATGTAGTTATTGTTAAGGTAATTATTGGTTCAGCATGTTTCATCCTGTGAGTGTTGCACCCCTATACAGACATTCCCGTAGCTCCATTGCCCCAATGTTCAATTCTAAGCATTCTCAAGATAGACAAATCTCTTGGGACGTTGGCTGATTGTTCTCTATCCTAGTACGTTGGAGGCCCAAGTAGGTTGGAGGCCATCGCTATTAGGATTGCAATCGTCCCACACTGATCTCTATCGGCGCGCGCCGACTCGGCGGATTCCATGGAGCTGGCAGCCAGTGCGGTCGCCGCAGCTGGGTTGAAGCTGCTGAGTCACCTGGAAAGGAAGCCGGTCCTTCCGGTCCGGGGGTAGCGAATGAAGGATGAAGGATTCATAGATGTAGCTACAGTCAAAGAACATCTGATGTAGCTTTGTTCTTCTGTATAGCTTTTGGACATGGCATTTACTTCTGAGATTTCGGTATAGTTGGAATTGAGGAGACTCTATTGGAGAGGAGCAGACTCTATTGGAGAGTCTGCTGTATATTTGGTACTCTTGTGGTCTTCTTTGCCACACCAGTCGCACCCAGTGACAGCGCCTCAGAGCAGCGATCCGGCTCTGTGTCCAAAGCCCCAAGACACTTTTTCAAACAATCTACATCAGTAAACCTATAGGGATTTCAGATGTTTTATGGACATTAGTGACATTAGCGCTTCTTCTATTCTCTCATGACTTGAATGGCTGAACTTCGTGGGTTAGCAGGGTCAAAGCCGGTCAAACATCGCAGGTCCCTTGTTTTGGGCTACACTCCGAAGAGCAGCAGGAACCCTGAACATGGATGTTATTAACGTTATGTTTTTTCTTGACAATCCTTCCCAGATCTGGTGGTCCATTTCGCGTGGCTCCTCTGTCAAGGTCCTGGTGGTTTTTTCCCCTTGTTGAGCCCGGAACGAGCGTGTGGCACAGCGATTCCGAGCTCAGACTACAACCGTAGCAACTTCTTCGAGAACCTGAAGCTTCAGCAGAGCCGGAAGTTCCGAAGGCAGCAGATCATCGCGGCTCAGGTGCTGCGCAGTGGGTCAGTCAGATGGGGGTGTGATCCTTGAGGAATTCAGTTGAGGATGACTACAGTTGTGAGCTACTGTACCTGATCCAACTAGGCTTGAATTCTCATTCACAAGATCTATTTGGCCTCGATCCCGCTGGGGTCACTCTTGTGATTCTTGGATTTGGATGAGCACAAACTATCACAAACATATACAAAAAAGGCATCCACCTTGGAAAACCTTGCAACTGGATTGAATCTATGTATGGATATTTGTAAGAATATAATGGAATATCTATATATATATAATACAATGTATACATCATATACGATATATAGTGTTCGATCCACTCTTGGGTCAAACGACACTATATACATGCTTTTCATCAGATCCGACAAAGGCGAACCTGTTCCGCTCAGATGTGCAGCAAGTGATTGGGGCCTCGGTGACGGTGCAGGAGACCGTCTTCGGATGGATGTCCATTTGTTTCCTTGTGGAGAGTGGTTCTGTGTGGTTCTTCCCCGGAACTGCATGCAGAACTTCATGCACTTAGTTCATGCAAGTCAGGCCACATGAGAAGTGCTGAATAGATATCGCGGTTGTTGAGACAGTTGGATGGATCAAGATTCAAGATACACGGTTCAAAGACATTTGAGCGGGATCCTCAGGCTTGTTTGAATCCCATGTTTCATGGCAATGCCAGGCCTGCCTCTTGAAGATTCTGAACCCCCAATGAAGGTTTTCGTGCATCACTGCCCCATCTCTTGTGACCTGTGTCTTTTCACCCCTCCGACCCTCCGACACGAATTCTGCGCAGTGGGGAGAGCTCCGGGAACAAGGAGCGCTTGACGGTGGTCTCCACGTTGATGCTCGTGGCCTCCACCTATTCCTTCGGTGCCGAAGCTGCGCTGTGGGAATGTGGTCAACGTATATAACTCCGAAAGAAGGTGTTAGTGTTTGTAGTTTTAAGGACTAATTGTTTTCTTCTTGGGAAGCCCATCTTCCAGGTTTGGTTTCCAGTTGTTTTGGACTGTTTTTGTATCACTTCGGTGATGAGCTTATATTTTTCTACTAATACTATTTTGCATGATCAACCTGGTTAGCCATCGGCCGAGGATAGACTGTGAAGGTGGGCTTTGTCCTTGCATGAACCCAAGATCCGAATGAGTGGAATCACATGTGATCCGGGTAGTCAAAGTACAGTTGTCCGGCTAAGAACAGGGCGTAGGGCCACGCAGAACAACCGAAATGAAAGAAGAAACTCTGCTTTGTCCTTGCATTACCTTCGCATCGTACCTATTGTTTCCTTTTGCGACTTGCTCTGATGCGCTATTCCATGCTGGTGTGTGCTTCCATGAAGAGTTTCCCGTTGGCGTCACTTAGCTTTCCCTGCTGCTTGCCTTTTCAGAATGGGACTGGTGCCCTTGGTTTCTTCCCACTTGCTCAGCAATCATGTGCTCACAGCGGATTTCCCACCTGCTTTCAGACTTCTAGAGTGACCATCTACAAAAAACGATTTTCTTTTCAAAGATCAGCCACCATCTACGACTAGTAGCAAGAAGCTACAAGTAGCTCCTGCCATTACTACTCAAGGAGCAAGAAGCTACTAGTCTACTAGTAACAAAGGGCATCGGTGTCGCTACTAGTCGCAAGAAGCTACCACCCAAACCCTGAACACCGACCCACAAAAAGTGGGGCATGCATCCCTCTAAGATGTTGCCGACGCACATGTCGCCTCCGGCACCAATCCGTTGTTTCGAGCGAGGTCTTTGGCTGCCGACGGAGAGTGCTGACTTCTTGACGGGGTTGTTCTACTTGAGCCTTAGCAGCTGGGCGGACCCAAGAGGTAGTAGCTTCTTGCTACTAGGAGTGATGCACCTGTTACTAGTAGCGATGCCCTTGTGACTAGTAGCTTCTAGCTACTATAGACGGAGAGTGCTGACTTCTTGAGGGGGTTGTTTTATTTGAGCCTTAGCAGCTTGGACCCCAGGGGACCAGCTTAGCGAGGGGCGAAGGGTGTAGAGGATCCGCTCGCGAAGCTAAGCAAGTGAAGTTGAAGGCTGCAGAGATATATTCTTAGGGACAGGCGTCACTCACTTGACTCACTTACTTTTGCTGTTTGACGAGCTTTTCAGCTTTTCCTTTTATTTGGAAAAGCATCTATATAAGTTTGTATATCCAAATTTGTTCATTCCAGGGCTGGCTCCTTGACAGGAGGCATTGGGGTGGGCAGGGTTATATGAGTGACTCACGGCAACCTGGCCGTGGGCCTCCCAGTCCAATGAAATCTGAAGTGGGCAGAGCCGGCAGTGCAATTTCCGGAGTTGTCAAGCTCCGCGCAGGCAACAGCTGCGTGCACTTTCTCTTGGGCCTTTTCTCCTGCATCTCCGCCAGCATTTTGGCCCGGACCTCCCAAAAGGCGCAAGGGCAGCCAGTGCGGGACCGACGAATGGCTGCGGACTCCGTGCGGGGTTCGGCGGACTGGGAGATTGGGGTGGTGACGACTCGATCATCCTTCAAAATGATGGGATTGCGCGTGCTACTGGCCAACAAACAGGGCGAAACCAAAAACTGGGCACTGAGTAATTATATAGTATAGTGTATAATAATGTATATAATATTGAATATAATAGTAATGTATAGTACATAAGATGGTCTTGTCCTAACCAAAGAAGACACTTTTGGAGGACCCTCAGAATGCAGTCCTGTTGATTCCACTGTCAGTGTTTTTTGTTTTTTGTTTTCTTTTTTTTTAAATTCAGTCGCTATCTAGGAAAGACTGCTTCAACGAAGAGGTTCATTGAAGGATGTCTTTCTCTTAGGGCGGCCGGACAACCTGTCCCACAAATCCTGACATGATTCTTCCTCAGCTTCTCAGCTCCGATCCCAAACTCAGCAAGGCAGTTTTCATGTCAACCAATATTGCGGAGGCAGTAGTGTGTCCTTGTGGATGCTTCTCCTCAGCATCTGGGGTCCATTTGCGCTTCATGTTCGGTGATTTCAACAACGTCTCGCCGGGGGGATTCTCCCTGGAAGGTGCTCCTGAACAACTGTGTGAGGCCGCCCTTCGAAGAGATGATCATGGCGGTGGATGAAGGGGTGCCTCGGACGGTCGCGATCCGGTCAACCAACGGGCCAACTGGGGGAACTGGCTCAGAATGTCTAGGCCTTCTCCTCTTTGGCCGGTATGGCTGTGGTCCATGGTTTAGAATTAGCGACATGACAGGATTATGGGCTCTTCATTGCTTTGAAATGTCTTATGCGGTCAAATGGAATTTCGGTGCAGGAATTTGGGTGCAGATCTTTGGGCAGAAAACGACTCGACGACCTTTTTCCCCTTTGGCGCATATGATGGACCTTTGGACCTTTAGCGTGAAATTGGTGTGCAATGTGACACTGACCCTCCCACATATTGGACAAACATTCCAATTCTGCCAGGTGGTCGTACAAGGTCGTAGATCCCAAGGGTGGACTCCCCCAAGCGGATCCCATGGCGACTTGACATCTTTTGACATGTTTTGGTTTCCCGCCATTTGACTTTGAATGGCATTTTTGACTTTGTTTGAAACAGCATAGTTGTATTGGATTCGTATAGGATCATCTCGTGGATGTCACCAGCATCATCTCGTGACACCCAACATCTCATCTGCCAACCGACTTGTTGGGGAGATCGACTTCCGGTCTTTCCACACGTGGCCTTGAGCGACGGTCACCTGTGTTGATTCTGTGCGGACCTTGCTTTTGGAGACAAGACCTGTTGTTGCGGGCAACAGGAGGCTGCTAGATTGTTGCGGGCAAGATCCCTTTGGTCCCGAACTGTATCCCGAACTGTTGGTTTTGGTGTTGTATTGTTTTTCCGCGGCAACAGTCAGTCGAGACTTTCCGTTGGTGTAGGACTTCACAAACCACTATGTATGGTCTTCACGTGTGTTCTTGTAGCAGTTGAGCAGCTTGTGATGGAGCGCAGATAGCTGTTCTACCTGAGAGGCAGAAACTCGTGTAGGATGGTGGTGGTGTAGGTATTCATACATAAGCATGTTATTGATTCTTTTTTGGTTTGGACATTCCCATGATTCTTCTACGATGATATGGAGCATATTGGAGCAATTTTTCATAGACTGCCGTGTCTTGACAAAACTTGAGCATTTACCGATACACCACTTATGAACCATAATAAGTTGCCATATATTGCCGTGATGTAGTGCCTTTCAGGAGCACAAGGAAAGTGCTGAACACTTTGAACGACAAGGTGTCTCAGCCTTGCTACGGCTGCTCGGCTGTTTGGGTAAGTCTGCACCTTCAGTCGAGTCTTTGTTTTTTTTTAGAAGATGAAACAAGAAGAAACAAGAGAGCCCTTCAAAGAGCCAGCAGGGGGGTGCAGAGGGTATTTCCAATCATCAAGATTTAGACTCATGAGGCAAAGCCCTCTCACCCGGTGACCAAGCCACACAAAAATGAACCAGATGAGCCCACGTGGGCACGTGCGTCGCATGGCACGTGCGTTCAAAGGATTCCGGGTGCTCACTTCCTGGAGAGCCGCTTTGGACGCGAGTTGCTGAAGCTGCGGGGCATGAGATTGTCCGGGTCCTCTGAGGCGGAGGAAGCTGTGGGTCGATGCGTCCGAGTCCTCGAAAGAGTAAAACAGTGAAACAGCTACAGCTAGATGGTCTATGGTTGTCTATAAGTTGGCTTATTGATCCTTTATTGGAATTGTTTGGGTGGGGTTTCCCCGTTCAATCTACGACAAGTGTATACTTAAACAACAAGCACGTTGAAAAAGTAACAGATTGAACACCTTCCTCCAACCACCTTCTTTTCAGTGAGGTTGTTGCCAAGGGAAGCGATTGTGTGAGAATGATTGTGGTTGCCCCAAAGTTGGTCCTTGCATATCCTTGCACAGCACAGGAGATTGGCCGGACTTCCATGAACCGATTACTGCAGCGACAGAGATCCAATGATGAAGCCATGATTCTCGTCAGCTCAAATGGTCCACCTAGACAACCAGGGAGGGCAGTTGCAAAGCAGAACAAAGGATGGATAGGCGGATAGGTCCTTTTTCAAGGGTGCACAACGGGCTGTTTCAGAAGAGGGGCTTCGTGAGATGATTGTTTTGTAACTTGTATTTGTGTGATCAGCATGTAGACACGAGAAAACACATGACATGTAACTTGCATACACACGTCACAAGTCTAGCTATCACTGAATGTTGTCACGTTGTCAATACTTAGCCCAGGTGTACAAAGCCCAGGCAATACGCTCCCGTGCGCAATATAATACAGTACAAAAACCAGTGTGACATTGATCGGGTGAGTTTTCATTAGATCAGTTTTCATTAGATCAGATGTCAGTTGTTCGCTTTTGGATGCATTTGGACAAGTTATTGTTGACCCATCCCTCAAATGAACCGGACTAGCAAGATGTTTTTTTTTTCTGATTCACAGTCTGTGTGTGTGAAACCCTTGGAGTCCAAGGGAACCTGTTGATACCTGTGCCAACGAAGCTGTTCCATGATGGGGGAAGCAGAGATTGATCACCTCCATGTACCTGCAAATGGTTGTGGCGTTGGTAACCATGATCTCCTCTAGATTTCAGGCTGGTTAGGTGCAGATAGGTGGGCAGACTCTGCACGTTTTCGTCGTCCTTGTTGTTCACTTGGCCGTCGACCCGGCACTTTGATGGAACTTCCTTGGACTTGAGCTTTGGAGTTATATAATTTTGGATCACCCTGGACTTTATGATGTTCAGACCGTCTTACATGACTCTAACCAGACTTCTTAGGCTTTCATACCTACGTGGGTGTGTGGCATGCGACATTCGATCTCAAATTTTCCCCAGTGTGTGAATTTTTTCTGGGTCACCAGCAACAACAACACCAACTCGTCAAGGTACGAATCAAGCGACTGGAGGTTCTTGTTTGGAGAAACTTATTTTCGATTGATTGATGACACAATATATGTGTTGGATCTTGTTGGGATCATGTTCTGCGGTTGAACCCTGAACTTGCTTACAGCAGCTTCCCCGCCCGCTCTGCACAAAGCGTGGGCGTGTTGCCTCACAAAACTTTCAATCATTCGCCCACCTCTCGGACCTGCGTGACACCAACAAATCCAGAGACAGAGACATGTCACGAGAAACAGGAGGAGAAACACCGAATGTCGCTCGCATTGTTCGTGTCTCACTTCTCCTTCGCCTCTCTTCGCGCCAAGGAATCGGCTCCAAGTGCTTTGGGACGATCTGGCCATGTACGCCCCATACTACCTGCGACTCGACGTGAAATCGAAGACACCTTCGAGGGGGCGATGCGTCGATAATGTCCTTTTAATGTTGGATCTTGATTAGTAAAAGGTCCTCCCCTTAACAAATGGGAGGGCCTCTATAACAAACTACCACCAAAACAAATCTGGATTCTTGGGAGGATTCGTTTTGTAATTGATTGTAGCATTCATTTTCTTTTCGTCTCAGGCGCATTGGGCAGCGGGAAGCTGGGAGTTTTAAAGAACTAAAGAAACTTATGATTACCAATAATACTCTCAGCAAGCCAGCCATTGGCTTAGTAGTATTAAGTTTTAAGAGTTTTTTTGCTGAAAAAAGCTTTGCACAATTGAGAACCCTTAAAACAAATCTATTATTTAGGATCAGGGGCCTTCCTGGTCTATTAGCTTGAAACTTTGTTTGGAACAATCTTTATATAAAGATTTGATTATGGAATTGAAGGTTTTTGGAAGCTGTGAGTTTTCAAGAACCAAAACAACCTATGATTACCAATAATACTCTCAGCAAGCCAGCTATTGGCTTAGCAGTATTCACAGATCTCCGCAGGATTTGGAACTTTCATTTTTCATATAAAAAATAGGTTCCCCAAACAATTTAGCATAGAAGAGAACCCTTAAAACAAACATGGTGTGAAACCTTATTTTTCAAAGAATAGCAATAGCATTATAGAGGGCCCTATTACTCAACATTCAACATTAAGTGGTATCTTTCAGCTGTTGAAGGGTTGGTACTTTGTTTACCTTCTCAAGTCAAGCTGCTTTGCCTTTCACATGCTTTCACATGTGATCTCCGAACGCATTCGTCACTCAGGAGTTGGGGCGTCCGGAACCTGCTCCTAGCATTTGCGAGTCTCGGACTGGCCCTGGTTTTTGCTGGTGAAGTGGCCTCCCCTCAACTCGGTCAGGTAGATGAACTGAAACTCCATTTCACTGAGTATAGTCAGTGGTCCCCAAACAGATAGAAACCGTTTCCAATATGTTGAAAGGGATTATATATATATACACATGTTTAATTTATTCGGGGTCTATATATTCAGATTTAAAGCGCTTTTGTTGATCTGGGGGCATCCTCCTGATGCTGTTGCGCAGCATCAACTGTGCGTGCCTTGGAGGAGAGAATCCAAGTCAGAGTCTTTAGGTCTGTGTGGTTCTTTGCGCGGATGTGTCTCAGTATACCACTAAGAGAACTAAGAGAAAGGACAGCATGAAGCCTCCAGTACACAGCATGATCATGCTGGAACTTGAATCTGTAAAATTTGCAAATCCACAGATTCGGCCAACTGCGCGAAACATCAAGCGTTCATCAGAGCTTGTGCGTCAAGTCAGAACATTTTAAGGATAATCGAATTGTGAATAGGTGTAATTCACTGTGTGAATTGTTGATCCTCCTGGATATATATTAGAGAAGTCGGGATTGGATGCATACTCTTCCATACATGAAGGATCTTGAAGGGTTTCCTCATTGGAGTGATACTGGGTTTGGGTGACCGATGATGCACGCTACAACGATATCCCAAGACATAGTCATTACCCACCAAGAACCAGCACATTTTTTTCTAACAGCGTAGCTGGTGCTCTAGAGACGTCGGGATCCCTCCAGTGGCTTGATGTTTTTTTCAACAAAATCCAAATGATGGGAGGAGCTTTTTCCCGTGATTTTTTTTGTCATTGTCGCGGGAGCTTGGATCTCGAACGGAACCAGGAACATCCAGGAATCCTCACATCCAATACTCAGGTTTCGAGCCATGAGTTTTTACTATCTTGACAAAGACATATGTGTGTTCCTCATGCAGACCTTCATTTGGATCATCATGGTGGGGGCCTTGGCTCGGGTAAGGGTCCGAAAGATGCTTGGGAGGAGGCCGGTACTAGGTATACAGGCCCAGAAAGCACTAGGAGTATGTTTCTTCGTGCTCGCTCACCAAGCTTCATGTTCATGATGATTGTGTGTGATCGCACAGAATTCTTTCAGGATTTGCTTTGTTTTTGTTAGTATATATATATATACACAATTATATAGAGTATATAGATATATGATATGTGTGTTTCTATTTGCACTTGTGTGTATCCTATTGCAGTGATACGGCTTCTTCGTTTCTTTTCTTGCTTCAGAGGAATATGTAAATGTATGTAACTGTACAATAGTATACATGTAGTTGATATAGTCAGAGTATGTCAGAGTAATCCAAATGAGAACCTGAGAGCACTTTGTGCGCCCAGACTAGGTGAGGGCTCAGAATAACTACTGGAGTTTCTCCCCAAAGGACGAATATCCTGACTCCATTGTTTGATAAAACAAACAGCCGAAGGTCCTGTCAATCCCTGTGTTCTAAATCCACATCTTAAGGTTGGGACTTCACACTTCATGGGGAAGCGGGAGTGGTTCTACCAGGGCAGCGCTGAACATCCTTTGTGATCCTTTGTGAGAATCTGACCTTTTTCAAAAGTTGAATGCTTGCTTGATTGCTTGGTCAGTTGACTAGTGGGCGAGTTGGTTGACTCGAGTGGCATCCAACGGTGCCACCTCCAACCCCCCAACAAGCGCGCTGAATTGCACTTCTTCTGACCCATGCAGACCCTGCAGACCCGGCTTCCTGCAGACCTCAAAAGCCATGCTATTTGTTGGCTGTTGATGATATTCTATTGGTGATTTGATCCTATTAGACTCGGGTTCGGCAATTGATTATGTTCTGTTTGTTTCTACTTCGTTGCTTGATGCATGATGTATGTATGTTGCTCGTGCCAGACGCTGGTGCTGGGAGCGCTAACCGACATAGTGATGCCCACCACCCGCATTCAAACAGCGCTGGAGCACCTGTTGAACCTTGGCCGGAGTCTGTTGACGTGTTGGGTCGGAGTTGGATATTCCAGTTTAAATTGGTCGAAGGAAACATCTATGTCTATAGTCTTTATTGTTTTGGATAAGGGTTCGGAGAATTACCCATTTGAACACTGGTCAAGTTGTGTTCAGAGGGAGTGTAATCAGATGATTTGACCCGCTGAGCGTTTGACTCCAGTGAGGGCCTCACCTTGGAAACTCGCCAAGCGTTTTTTGTCGTTCATGCTCGCTAGAGTTTAGGGAGCTCTATTTGCTGGGCTTCTTCAAGTTGAACAAACTACGTGACCACTTTTCTTTGCCACTGCAGCATGTGCACATGCCTTCAGGGATTTTTTTTCTAACCACTGACATAAAAATGCATATCCCCAAACATGCTGTTTATATTCAGGAAACATACAGATATTCCTGACATGAACCATCGTTCTGATGTGCCTGAAGGCTTTTGTTTAGCAACATCCGAGGATTTTGCTGTGTATCGGCATCATTCTGACTGATGCGCACTTTACACACTTTCGCTTCATGATTTGGTGGAAGCGCGAGGCAGTGGAACAAGTTATGTACTGGCAGATGTGTGGCAGTGTATACGCAGAGCCTGGCTTGAGAGTGTCGTCATCAGTTCCATGGCTGTTGTCAGAGCCGAACCAAATGGTAAGTTCAGAGAGCGAACGAGTTCCAAGTCAAAGTAGTTTTGCAATCCACTGAGACAAAGGGGTTGTGTGCAATTGGCCTTGGACAAGCTACAGTAAGTTGTAATAAGCACTTCCCAAGAGAAGACTTCACTGAAGAACTCCTAGACAGGTCGATCTAAGAATCGGACGCAGGTCAGCTAATAGCTTTAGGTGATTCTGTTTGTTGGCAAGCGATGATGCTACAAGACTGTCTCAAACCAAATTGCTTACCAAACGAGTGCTCGTTTTCATGTTTTTCGAAGACCCCGAGCTGTTTCATTTTGTCACCAAAAAAGCATCTCCAGGGCCTGGACCAAGGGGGCAACTCCCTCACAGCTGCCTTTGCTTGTCTTCTGGGGCTCTCTGTGCTTCGGATTAGAGGAGCCATCGCGATCGGTCGCCACCTGGGAATTGTTACAATTATGGGGTCTTCTACATCTCGGGTTGTGCAGGGTTTCTTCAACTGTTGCAAGTGTGTTTCCACCAGCTTGGCTATATTTGCATGTGTAGGCTTTGATTAATGAAGACGTTGATTTGGGAGAGGTCCAGGTGCAGGTGATTCTTGTTGGATATATATAGATCAAAGCCATTGTTTTCACAATACAGCTTGGGATTGTTCTGATCTCAACAACTTCTTTTCTGTGTGTTTTATCAAGGCACTGGAGGGTGGAGGGTGGTACAGATAGTGGTGCCAGTTCTGCAATCACTTGTAAAGCCTAGCCGTGCACAGAATACTATATATTTTGTTTCTGTACTACACGGAAGAATTTCATCCCTGAGATTTCCTGAGCATTTCACCTCTAAGCAACGAGCTTTACAATCTTCACGCTAATCTACGCACAAATCCCAGTTCTAGTTCAGTAGGCTGATTGCATATGGCATATGGCAGTACCTAGTTGGGAGAGTGTTGTTAAAACATGATGATCCGAAGGCATGAGGCCGGAACAAGACCGTTACAAGAAGCTAACACCAAGCACCGTAGCATCAACACGAGTGACCAACACATGAAGTCCCAGAACCAACGGGTTGAGTCACCAACGGCAGCTGCCACGGCCTTCGCAACCGCGAACAGAACGGCTCATGGGACTCTTGAAGCCAGACATGCTAGCAAGAAAGCGGTAGTCCTCCTAGTAAGGCACTTGTTTCTACTAGCTTCTTGTTACTAGTAGTAAGGCATTTGTTACTAGAAGCGATGCACTTGTTCCTAGTAGCTTATTGTTTCTAATTACTAATTCTATCAAGCCCCGATTCAACCAGTCTTTTGACATGGTGACTTTTGAGTCTCCACGATCTTGCACATAGGTGGGACTCTGCATGTCTCATGGCTGGCTCAGGTATCTGCTCATGTGCGCTTCTACATCAACACCCAAGGTGGTCCCATGTTTCAGCATCTCGGCCTTGTCGAGAGCGTCTCGGCCTGCTCCGGACCTGCTCCGTCTGCGATGACTAGAGGATGAAGTTGATCTATTCCTGCCGGCACATCACCATTAGGTTGGAGGCCATCGCTGGTAGGTTGGAGGCCATCGCTAGTAGGT